AGCTATTTGTAATGAGGTGGATATACCTAGAGTCTGTCATACAGAGTGAAGTAAGTCAGAAAGAGAAAGACAAATACCATATGCTAACACATATATATGGAATTTAAGGGAAAAAATGTCATGAAGAACCTAGGGGTAAGACAGGAATAAAGACACAGACCTACTAGAGAATGGACTTGAGGATATGGGGAGGGGGAAGGGTAAGCTGTGACAAAGCGAGAGAGACGCATGGACATATATACACTACCAAACGTAAGGTAGATAGCTAGTGGGAAGCAGCCGCATAGCACAGGGAGATCAGCTCAGTGCTTTGTGACTGCCTGGAGGGGTGGGATAGGGAGGGTGGGAGGGAGGGAGACGCAAAAGGGAAGGGATATGGGAACATATGTATATGTATAACTGATTCACTTTGTTATAAAGCAGAAACGAACACACCATTGTAAAGCAATTATACTCCAATAAAGATGTAAAAAAAAAAGTCTATGTGAGGATGTTTTGGATGAGACCCTTAGATGTTTTATATTCATAGAAGGTTAAAATTGTGATCCATTGCTGCATAGTACAGTGGAGGAAACAGAGGTCCACAGCAGTGAAGGGACTAACCTGTGGTCACAATGAGAGTGGTTAGACAGGTTCTATAAAAATCCAGAGCCTGTGCTGTCCAGTGCTCCCTCCTCCTAAATTTGTTCCTTTCTGATTCATCTGAAAGAAAGAAGTAAAGAAGTACCTGCTTAGGCCTTCTGATGCCTATGGAGCTCTATCCCACAGTGATGTTGCTCCTCTTAATGAAAAAACAACAAAACTAATTTTAGAGAATCCCTAAAACTCTCATAGTTTTGAAGTACTCATTAATGAGAGACTTCAGCCTGAAACAAAATCTATATCCAACAGTGATCTTTTCAGGGACCCTTAAACAAAAGTGACGATAAAATCCCCTTTCTGTTAAATCCCATCTCACCATCACCCCTGACCAAAAGCATACGCATAGCTGAGAACAGTCATCCCACCCTGATTTCTCATGGCCTTTCTGTCCAAGTGCATACTACAATTCCTTTATATCTTAGTTCAGATTCTCAAGGGAGATAACCAGATAAACTGCTGGCCAATCAATAGAATGGTTACACACCAGTCAACTGTGCACCACTGGTCTAATTGCTGCAGCCACAAGGATGAGTTCTATATTGCAAACCCAAGTGGGAAGCAGGTCCTGGAAAGGGCACATGTGCTGGCAGCCCTAACTCCGCAGAGTCCAGACAGAAATTGGTCGCTCCTTCTGCTTATATTCCTCCTCCTACTTATACTCTTGTGACTTCTTTGCTATAGAAAGCTGCCCTTCATGATCAGCCAAACAGATAAATGTTAATCTGTATTAAAAAGTTGGGTTGTGGGTTTGTACCTGGCCACAGGCTCCAGACATGGTCTGGGTCCCCTGTGTTTCTTGACCACAGAAGTGACATTGTTACCTCTCAGAAGACAGTCCTGACAACATATTCACAGCATGAATAAGCCAAGCACCCCAGCAACAGCGGCTGGAAAAGTCCCTTTTCTTGAGCTGACCTGACACAGCCTTGCTCACTCTGCACTCACCTAAGGAAACACTTTGCAAGTGAAGGAGAAGGGAGGAGAAGAGTGTTTCCAAGATCCATTGCTGCGTAACAAACTTAATGGCTTAAAACAACGATTATTTATTTTCCTTATGAATCTGCAATTTAAGCAGGGCTCAGTGGGCACAGCTCAACTCTGGTTTCATGTGGCATCCAAAGCCTCAGCCAGGATGACTCAAATGGCTGAATCATTCTACATGAAATCTCAGAGCCTCTCCATGTGATCTCTCTAGCAAGGTAGCCTTAAGTTAGTCATATTTCATACACCATACTGAAGGCTCCAAGAATAAATGTTGCATGAGACCAAGGCAGAAGCTGCAAGGCCTCTTATGATGTAACATCAGAAATCACACATCACTTCTACTGGATTCTGTTGATCACACAGGGCTGGCCCTGACTCCCTCAGGAAGGGAACTAAACAAATGCATGAATACTGGAAGGCATAGGTCTTTGGGGTGTCATCTCAGAGGCTGGCTACCATAGCGGGAGTCGGTTCTGTCAATAGTATTACATATGTACCAAAGAAGAGTATTGGGAGGTTGAAAAAAATTGTACAAGCAGATAAGTTTTTTCTTTTAATAGATTTTTGAACCAACATCTCTTCTCATACTTTAACTTTTAGGTAGTTCTTACTGATTTTCTTTCACCCTCTTATCAACCAGTTCTAATGATTTTTTAAAAGCATAAAAACTGTGTGTAATCAGGTTACAAAGACTGTATATTTTTCCGACTGCTCTTAGCATAGGGTATCTTGTTCACTGTTGTTGGTAAAATTCTTAATGTAAGCCAAGCAAAAAATATTTGGAATTTAGTACAGAAAAGGAACAACAGAGGAAACAGACTTTTAACTCAAATAGGGGTGGGGAGGGTGGAAAAGTCAAGAACGGAGTCTCAGAAGTGAATGGTTTTAGCAGCATAAAATAAAACTCATTCCAGTAACTTTTACAGCAAAGCAGCTCCAATGGAAACTACTTTAAAAAATAGTTTCCGGACTAAAAAAATCTTTTTCTAGTGGAATTTCCATTTTCCAAACACTCATTTCAATACTTTTCAGGAAAGGGACAAACTGTGATAAAACTAAAGCCTCAGAGTTAATCAGAGCATGCTAGTTCATAAAATTTGTTTTTACCTTTGGGATTTTATTAATAAAAGAGCTACTTCCCATTTCACCCAAGCTAGGTTAGAGATTTTATTTCCTAGTTTCCTCTATGCATGTAGATTAAAAAAAATAAGCTCTCAATCTGACATCGAGAAGATTCCAACTCACAAAATTGCTACTCATCAACAGTTGTAGAGTATACAATTCCAAAATAGTCAATAAGAAAGATTTGGGCAAGAAAACTGATGCCACAAGACAGAAGTTTTAATAAAAGGATATTTAATAACATTTCCTACATCTTACATGAGTAAGTGGTTAATATCATATAGATGGCCAACACCTAAGCAGACCTGAAAGTCCCTGAGACCTTTATGAGTAGGATTTCTTTCCTACTCACCCTTCCCCCTCTCCC